TCGATTAATTAGAGGAAGACTATAAATTGAACAATGTAACAAAATAGGAATGAATATTAATAAAAAATGTCAAGAATAGTTTCAATTAACTAAAAGATAAAATAAAGCTTATTAAAAATTACCCATCAAACCAATGACCCATAGAAAATGTTGCGGTCGCACTCTCATAACCTTCGTCAGTTCCGATCATTTTGGTGTATTTGATATCATAAATACCAGGACCAACGGTAAAAAAGTCACCTTTCAACCACGAAGGCAAATTTCCTCTGACGATTAAATCGACAGATTTTAAAGTTTCTTGACCGTTAGAGAAGCCCTTTTTGATAAAATCTCATGTATTTAAAAGGCATATATAAAGTTGAATAAGGACGAATGAACCGATAAGAGTAAAAATCTACCTTGCAATATTGAAGTTCTTTTGTACTTGAATCATTTGCAGAAAAAACTTCGATTTGGGCAATTCCATCAGTAGCAATGATTTTTGGAGGGTCTGAAAAATTTTTAAGTTCAGTCATTATAAAAAACGGAATAATATTTTAGTAGTTGGGGACAATTTTCATTCAGTACAAAGAAGAAAAATGATTTTTAAATATTTTATTTATTCTATTTAAAATCGGACTTACCAAAATTGTAGAATACTCTTATGTAGTACGTATCAGTATGTATCACTGCGTTTATATGGTCAAATAAGATCGAATGCCTTTAATTAAAGTCGTACAAGAATAATAACGTAATCAGCCAGTTATTTAATTCCTCTTTAATTAGGTCGAATATTTAATATATTGGCAACGAATAGCTTTCAACCTAAATAAACTTGTCATGTCACTGAAGAAGAATCATTCTTTGCAAGTGACTCGAATCGTTCAAAGGCAGAATATAAGGTCTTGAATATGTGAAATTAAATTATAATCGACATCCAAGCTTTTTATGCAGAATCAAAATATCAAAGCACCGGCTAAATGGGTAGGTAGCATAAAAGATTCTATTTATATTAAATAATGGGAGCAGAGATATTTCCTGATTTGGGTCTAAAGCGGAGTCAAATTCACGTGACTACAGCCAATCAAATTATAGACTTTTGATGATCGCCGGCGAAGCAAAACAAGAAATAAAAACACATCCAAAGTACATTTATTTAAAATTATCTTTGTTGATTTTAATTTTAAAGCTTGACATATTTTAACTATTGTTTTTTTTTTTTTTTTTTTTTTTTTTTTTTTTTTTTTTTTTTTTTTTTTTTTTTTTTTTTTTTTTTTTTTTT